TTCTATTCTACTCAAAGTGGTGATTTTAGATTCAAGAGAAATAAAAATCACATGGAGTCATGTTTAGCTAACGGCTATATAATGCTTGATTTAATTAATCAATCATATTTCAAATTCTTTGTGGTCCTATCTCAATAACATCTATTTCATAGTCGGTATCTAATCTTGAATTCAATGCTGGCATATCCGCACAAAGCAACGATTTCGTGTACCCCAAAAGTAAACAATCCAGTGCCATTAGATCACATGATTTTAAAACTGAGACAATGGGTTGGTTTCTAAATTATTGAATAAATGTATGCGCTAAATATGGCGTCAAAAGAGTTCCAGAATATGGCATACGGTGTCACACTCTTGAAGACAACAAATTATTTAATGTGGCTTCATATCGGGGATGATGCTGATACTATCATTTTTTTCGTTTTTGAAATGGGTTTTCACTGAGGTAGATATAAACCAAATTAGAAAGCAAAATTTTAAGGAAGTAAAATGGATCGATGTGCAATCGTCCAAGTTCCCATTCACTGGAGTTATGCTGCAAGACGTCTATGTTTTGCAGAGCGTTGTCTAATTGTTCTTAATTTAAATTTACAATTTAATTTAACAGCATCGGTATTTATACGTTTTATGCAATAGATTATTAAAATCACAAATATTATCATTTGATCCAGGTTTTTCAAATACATAACAAACGGCAAGCTCTGTAGGTTAATGAGGTTGACCGTCAACTGCACATAATGTACAAAGGAATTTCAACAATTCGAATTTCAACAATTCGATATCACACCTAACTGATTATAAGGTCTATAAATTAGCCACTAATTTTTAATAAATTTTTTTTAACATGACATTTAACAATATCTTCTTCTTCTTCATTCCATTACGTTTCCAGAGGAACATTGGACCATAACGAACCTTTTCCTATTGTTACGATTTCTTGCTAGGGTTTTAATTTCCCCAAAGGTTTTTCCGCTAGCTTGGATTTCTTTCTCTAATGTTTGCTTCCACGTTTGCTTGGGTCTACCAGGTCTTCTGCTTCCATGAGGATTCCACGTTAACGCTTGTTTAGAGATTTCATTTGGTGTTTTCCATAATGTGTGCCCGATCCATTGCCATTTACGGTTTTTTAATTCATTTGCGATAGGAAGTTGGCAGCATGTTGACCAGAGTTCGGAATTTCTGATAGTGCGGGGCCATCAAATTTTCAAAATTTTCCAGAGGCATTTGTTTATATAATATATATAAAATAATCGTCCAATGCTGATTAATTACTTCTTATCTGTTTATATTACATCACATATATTTTGAAGTATTTTTATGATACTTTAAAAAAATATTTCTTTTCAAATAAACCACAACGCCCCAACATACTTCCAGCGGGTGAAAATATTAACGGGGAACAATTAGTTTCCAATTTTAGCCCATAAATCAAATGGTCAATAGTTCAATAATTGCTTTATTGATGTGCTTGGTTGTGTGGTTTTTTTCGCTTCAAACGACGTCATAAACATCAAATTAAGAAATGCAAAACCTTCTTTTTGTGCTGTCAGATACGAGGTTTGAGATATTTTGACTTTTACGATGAGGGGAGGCGGCGTTGGCATATTTATTAAGCCATAAATTTGTTAGCACTTTTACGTTTTTGACCAGCACTTTCCAATGGAAGCCTAATTTATGACCACAAAATTATGAAATTAATATGTTCAAGCCACTCACTTACTTGACCATAAAATTCAGTAAAGTTTGTTGTTGCCGTTGTTTTATTTTGTAGTCATAAATATAATTATTATTTTTATATTTCCAAGCATTTGTAAGGTGAAGTAAGTAATTTAATGAACTTTTTTATTTTATTGCATTTGAAACGAAATTGAAATGAAATCATATTTACCTAAAAACGT